TACAAGAACATAATAAATTTCAGATGATCACAGTGTGTCCTCTTTTTCCAAATCCATTAATCCTACCTCCACTCCGAAACTCAGAAAGTTGAATAAACAGACTCTCTGGAAGAATACTTCTGCCGACCCTTTTGGGTGTGTTAGATTCGGATCGATGACGTGAAGCCTTCAAAAATGAAAAGTTCTGGAGTGTTTACTAAATTCAAGCAACAGCCCGTGATATTCTTTTTATTTCCGAAGAACGAACAGCAAGCCTGCAGTTCAAGCTTACCCTCGTCAGCCATGGCAAATTACCTTCGAATCTCATGCTTCCATTCTCACCTACACTTCAGATAGTGCTCGGCACAGGTGGCTTACGGGGCAAGCTGGATTTTCTGCAACTTGCAGAATCGTAGCATGTTTTTACTTTCCTAAAGCATTCTTAGCATTTCCTAGAAAACTAATTTTTGGAATTTTATCATAATTGTCTTAGTCAATCACAGCCGCGACAAAGCATGACATACTTGCTGCATTGCTTGACATACTCACCCAAACATATGCAAAGACTGCTATCTATGTAGAGGTTATAAAGTCAAACTCTGTATAAATGCTCGTGGTTCTGTATACGCGTTGCCTATCAGCCCATCAGTCAATAAAGCTTCGTCCAAGTCCTTCGCAAGTTCAAACATGGTTATCGTTTTGGAACAAAAAGCAAAGGGGATATTGTTGGAGCGGAAACTCCCCCCCCCCCACACACACACACACACAATCGCCTTCTACCTTTATGTCACCCTTCTTCTACACAAACTGTCATTTCTGCCTTATCGATCTGCAAAAACCAAAAACTTCCTGTTTCAACATGTTCGCCGGTTGAGCGCGCCTATTCAAACCCGTCCCGAAATAAACGAAAGATTGTTCAAAACGAAGAGAAAATGAAATGACACCAAAATTGGTGTGTAGGTGGGCGATAGAAAGCTAGGACTATGTGCGAAAAACTACGAAAAATTATGTGAACTGAAGGCGTGGCAAACTTTTTTCGGAGTTAAGTGGCTTTTCAGCCACCTGGACAGCCACCTAAGGTGGCCGTGAAAAGAAAAAGTCATATATTTTTCTTCCTTCCTATAATTTTCTTACATTTTTAACATAATCTTGTTCTAGATCAAAAAGCCTACAAATGCGTTTTTGAATCTCGCTAAACTCCCTGTTCCTCGCTTAGTTACAGCCCTCCAGATATTTTGTATGGCTGCGGCAAGCCTGCTCCAACCAAACACAGCATACCGCCAATTCGGGAAATACGAACATCTTTTTTTTCGTCTATTCAGGGTCAAGCGTGTTAATGCGATCCGGAACCCTCATTTACGACCAGGGTCAAGCGTGTGATGCGACTGTCGCAACGGGGGGTTGTAAAGGGAGCCTATGGTGAGGGGGGGCGTAAGAGGGGGTGTTTTGGATAAAAAATCGTACGATTGAAAGCAAATCAAATAGCAAGTAGTTATTACATGTTCTTAACAATAAGTTCATGGAATACCGTGTACCAATATATCAAATAAAAACGAGTGAACAATAATTTGAAAACATTTGCAAGCGTAGAAATTCGCTTCATTTGCTGCACTTTTGAAAGATTATGACTTATAAGAAGAGGATACTTAGTCGGAAGCACCAATCCAGATGAGACACATATCATCAAAGCTGATTTCAAATTTGTAATTTTTAGCAGCGGAGCGGTTTTATAGAAGGAGTTATGAGGGGTGTTTCATTTTGGGGTTGAGGCGCCCTCCAGCAGGTCTCCCGTTACCCTACTGGTACCAACTGGTAGCAACTGGCTAGTGGTAAGTAATTTAAATGAAGATTACATTAAGGATTGTAATACTCGTTTACTTTGGTTTTTTAACACTTATAATTCCAATTAGCATCAATATCATCCGAAATTTCAGGCTTTAGGGCTCTAGAGCCATTCAAAAGCTCAAGAATTGTGAGAAAGTTGCATGCAAAGGGGATTAAAACCTTGAAACTCTCTTTATCAAGCAAGGCACTTACCACTAGGCCACTTGCCACCAGTTGGTACTCCTCTACAGTAACCATAGATAAGGGGAGACCTGCTGGAGGGCGCCTCAACCTTAAAGGGAAACAACCCTCATAACTCCTTTTAAAACCGCTCCGCTGCTAAAAGCTACAGATTTGGAATCAGCGTTTCAAGCGCTTTAAGATGATATGTGTCTCATCTGGATCGGTGCTTTCGACTAAGTATCTTCTCCTTGTTAGTTCTTTGTTTTTATGGAAATCGCTATTTCTCCCGCAAAATAATGTCTCAAACGGGGATCGAACCCTGCTGGCATAACTAAAATCCAAAAAATAAACACTATCAGAAGCTCAAATGCTACTCAAGGCATGTATGTGTGAAAAAGATGTTGGATGTACCGATTGCTGTAGACATCCTGCTTCCGAAGGCTCACTGAAGACTCGCACACTCGACAAAAGCGCACACGTAGATCAACGATGACAATCAATAATTCGTAAATCTTTTTGTAATGTCATCTATGCGGCCCTTACAATTTATACGTACTTTAGATAAGCCCTGCTACTGCTATGCGAAATCTGGTCTTATTTTATAAACTGCGGATTTTCTTATGATTTTATGTGTGGTAGCAAAAAATGAGAAAAGGGGGGGGGTCGTATCTGCGCCTGATCTAAATTTCTCCGGAGCTATTGAAGCTTGTTAGCTGCAAACTTGCTAAAATACGAGGCCATCCCTCTAATTTTTATCATAAGAGTTTCAGGCTGTTTTATGGGGTAAGTTGCAAAATTTTAAGCTCAAAAAGCCCAGTTTTTGCTTTTTGGGATCGCATCTAAATTTGCGAGAGCCTAATCTAGATTTTTTCGAGCTCACTGCCCCTCAAGGGCTAAAACTTATTCTAAGCATAATCTGGGCACTATGCTACACAACCTGTGCTTTCCAGCCTCTCAATATTTTCCTGGTCTTAGTCACGAATTTTCCATCTACCGTGCTCATGCACGTTTTTAACATCGCTCTGCACGGCGCTAAAGCGGTTTTTCGCAGACAAAACTGTGCAAGCGGTAGAAAGAAAACTTCTTAGTCGAAAACATCTTTTGTAGTTCAAGAATGTCATTTTTTTCTCCGTGCAAAAATTTGTGGAAGAGGGCAGCTTCAGTTGTAGGCTAAGCACTTTTCAGCTGAAGTTGAAGAGAGCTCCTTTCGCTACCAATTTCATCCTGAAATTTCAAAACTGTCAATTCTCTTGTAATAGATCCATTTCGAAGCTCTAAGACTGTTCTGGTGTTCATAAGAGCCTTCACTTCAATCACCTTTAAGAACTGCACTTTTTCACCTCATCCGTCAAATCTCTTTGCTCAAACTGAAATTATTTGCAGACCGTCGTGTAGAGAAAGCCTCGTCCTTTCGAATGAGCCTAATTGCAGACTCAAACATTGACTGCAGGCCGAGTTACAAGCCTGCAAACCGGTACAAGTCAGTGGTGAGGTGCAGCTGGGGCCATGTGCAAGCACTGCCAAGGGCCATTTTCAGCCATGAAACTCATCAGCACACGTCCGATGCATAGAAGATGGCAAAGAGCATCGGTTTATCCAGACGGCTTTGTTGGGATGTCTTGAACAGGTTTCCGGGTGAAGAAATTTGGCTTGATAGAGGAAATTAAAAGTTGTTTTTTGAAAAAAGCAAAATAAAACTCAAGCTTGCGTTTTTTGGGGAAGCAACCATAACCAGTGTGTAGTTCTTGACGAGCTCTGTATAGTAGTATGCTTATCCTTCGGATGATTTGTGTTTCCGCTTCAAAATAGAGCTCAAAAGAAAATTTTTGCGTTCGAAGAATTATTGTCCGCGACATTGTGACGCGGCCATTTTCGGACTTTTTTCAGAAAAAGAATCTTAAAATTTTTAGAATACATGTTTCTCAAAAAGCTCAAAGTGTAGATTGTAGATCTTGAAAAGCTGCAATTATTACCTTTTTTCATTCTTGTTTTCCCTCTGAAAAAGAGCGATAAACAAGGGAGGAGGCTTGTCCGCAACTTTTTGGCGGTCACTGTATAAGATGCTACGGCAGGCACATCGTGATCTTTGATCTCGGATCTTCCCATATCCAACAAAAATTTGATAATGCCATTTGGACTGCTGTGAAAACATGTAGAAGGTTATTTTGTAAAAATGAAGTGTTTCATTTTCCGAAGTGAAAGTTTTTGAACGTTCACAAAATCGACTGACAGCTGATTGCAATGACGACGTTGTGGTGAACATTTTGATTGTAAAATTGCGATGACAACGTTGTAGTGAATATTTTAATCGCAAAATCTCAGTAATAAAGAGCAATGGGTATCATTTTGTACTGTAAATCTAACCTGAAACCACCCCTACAATAAGCTACGATTCTCCGTAAAAGTTTCCAAACAAGAGAGTCAGTAGCTGAAAAGCGACACATTTTTCTCTACTTCGCCCTGTGTAGATGAGAGAATTCAAACTTTCAACCCACCATAACAACAACCTATTTGATTTCTACGGAATCAAGTTTGCGACAGCTCTTTGCAGCCATCACATTGATATTTGAAAGGTATGCTCTAAGTGTAGTTGAAAGTTTTTTTAATAAGATGCTGACACATTTCAAGATAAAAACCTAGCAAATGGAAAAGTAAAGCAAATATCGTAAATGTGAACAAAACTTGACATAACGTCACTTCGAATAAAACCGTTGCAGTCCGATAATTCTTGCATTTCAAGACTCAGGACAGCCAGAACTCTCCGGTGCAAATGATTTCTTTCCTTGTGATACTTATAAAACTTTATACCATGTGTGTTGTGATGTACTGCCGATTCTGAATGCTAATTCAAAGATTTTGGAAGCTTTCATAAACTGTGTCAGACTTCCAAAAGTTTTTTTTCCATTCTTTTTCATCTTCTCCTTTATAATTATGTAGAAAATTCTTCTTCGGGCAATCACAAAACCGCGCATTTCGAATTTGACTCTTCGTGATTAAAATTGACCAGATGATTTTAGATAATTGTTCAAGTTTGTTATTCATCAGTTCACGGACTGCTGCGAATTCAACCAAGAATATTATTCAAGGATTTTCGAAAGGATGGGGTTGCGATCAAAAGGTGAATTTACTTTGCGGTGGTGCACTTAAATCCGTTCTGCTCTCGCCATTTCCATTAAATAAAAATAGTTTATTCTAATTTGTCATAAAAGTGCAGCCAGAAAATAAAAACTTCCCCACTTTTTATCCGAATTTTTATACTATAAAGCACTATTCATGCAAAATCAAGTGTGACCGCTTGAAAACAGGCTTTTGGAATCTTATCATACTTATGCGCCACAAGTGTTAGGAACGCAGCAAATTTTTCAGTTGAAAAACTTGAAATAGACGGATAAATTTAGAAAAATGATCTGTTGAGTCAAAAATCGCTAAATATAGTGCAAGAGATACGACATGGTTGTCGAAATTTTGCATTTACCGGAGGAAAAAGTCGGAAAGATAAATCGAATGCATGTGGTGTTAGCACTTACAGCATGTCATACCGCTTTGACTTTTGAGATTTACAAGGAGCATTAAAATGTCGGAAAACAAAAGAATTGCTCGGCGCTTATCAGCTGTTGATTTTTGGGTGCCTTGATCTAATGATCTGTGGCTAAGTTTCCCATGCATCGAACGAACTGGATATATGTTAACCATTGGTATGAGGGGTGCGGGGTGCGTCTGTCTGGGCTCACTATGGGGGCATGGGCAAAGTTCATGCTGTGTGCACCCTTTATGCACAACTGCGAGCATGTTCCGTCATGAAATCCATCTTCAACCGGCGAACGTGTTAAGGGGTATAGGCTGCTGCATGACGAAGCGCTATATCTTCAGGCGCGAACGCGGCTTTATTAGCTGCAGCGCATGAGTGCGGGATCTACAACTGTGACCATATGCGCGCGTCGCGTTCTCGCACGCTCAACTAATATCGCCATTGCGCCTTCGTCATGCAGCAGCCTTTAGATGCGTGTGAACTGCGCCGAGGCGACAAAACAGGGCACGTGCTTTGCTTCAAACGCTGAGAATGTGCCAAACGTCGGTGTTCGTTACACAGCTTTTTCGCGTAAGGCTAAGTATCCATTTTACCATGCGCGTCTCCATCGTGCTCAGGATCTGCTCGTGCTTCTTGGTAAGTGGTCAACACTCTCCATACAGGGCTACTGATCGTATCACTGTGCGATATAGCTATGATTTAAGATAAACTAAAATTTGACCATTGCAGAGTACTCCCGTTACTTAACATCATTTCAGCCAGGCTGCATTCGTTTCAACAGTGCACCAGTGATCGTTTCGCAATCCGACTTTGCACGGGAACCGAGATATTTGAAAGTAGTGACTTTTATCTGTGGCTGCCCATCGATGCTGGTTGTTCCGTCTGTTTGCTCCTTACATTCAACAACTCAACGTTATCCGCGTGGAGAAGCGTCCACGGGTGCGGCAGTTGGATTTCTCTCGCAACGTGTCCACAGTATGAAAAGTGTATGATAATGCCGATTTTTAATGTACCCCTACTTAAAACGGGAATGGCATTGATGTTCCTGTTGCGCACAGCGCACGGCTCCTGTCGTATAAAAATGCCCGATTCAGCGGACGTACTCTTCTGGGACGTGATGTTGTGCATACCAGATGCAGCTCATGTGGTATACAAACGACCAACAATCAAACGCCTTTTCTAGGTTCAAGATCGCTAAGTCCAAATTCGCTTCTTCTGATGGCGTTCCATCAGTAGTCGTACGGGATGTATGGCGGTTATGGTACCAGATTCTTTCACAAAACCGCATTGATTCGAAGTGACTTCTACGTTTCTGGATACGCTTGTCGATGACTCGTTCAAAAATCTTCATCGTATCACATAAGAGGCGTATCTGTGGTTGTTTTAAACATCCATGACTTCGCCCTTGTTTTTTCTTCAAATAGGAAGTGTAACACTAATTGATCAATTCTTAGTATCTTCCCTCGACGATAATCCGAATGAAAAGTGATCTGAGAAATTCTACTCCACATTGTTCCGTCCTTTTCCATATTTCCGCAAAAGTGCCATCCGGCCCTAAAGTTCTACCATTTAACACCTTCTTTAGTGCTTGCGCAACTTCATTCTCCACGATCCAAGGCAGCGGCTCGAACGTTGACGCTCCCTATGGGCTGGTGGGTGGAGAACTCCTCATTGCATAATTATTTGTTGTAGTCGCTTCACTTTTTGAGTATTTCCTTCGGCTCATAACGTGGTCCATGTCCTGTTCACTTCGATGTCGGGAAGCAGCCAGTTGGTATATCTCGTTAGTGCTAGCGGGTGCTTCCAGCTCATCGTAAAGCTTACTGCAGTACGCCTCCTTTGTCTCAGCTACTGCACGTTTTACTTTCGAGTTTAACCCCGATAACAACGGAAATCATTGCTTGCGTGAGTGCGCTGCCAGATTCTGAAGGCCTTTTTTTCCTAATGACTTGCTGAACTGACTTGGACCACCATCAGATCTGTGTCGACGAACCCGCATCCAGGCTGGGTGGACCCCAAGATCCCCTCGGCCCTCGAATGTAGATGCGAACTAATCCGATTTCATCTGTCATCAATCGATTCTCCATCATCAGTCGACAAATCCAAATTGCTAAATGATTTCCTGATCTGCTTGGAATATTCGGAAAGCTTCCACCACTTGTCCTCTTGGTCATCGTCCCTCGGGCTCGTAGATGTAAGCCAATATATTTAGTCGAAGATCCAACACGAGCAGGCGATGTTACTGTGCAAATGCATGTGTCGCTTTGGGTGTAACTTTCGTATTCATCACCATCAACAAGTGCATCTGCGCAGCATCCAGTAGTCGATCTGAGTAGAGTGGTTTCCATTTCCATACGTAATCAAATGTTATATCCGCTTTTGAAGAAGTGTTTGCGATAACCGAGTCGTGTGCTTCAGCTGCTTCCAAATGCGTTCCCCATTCTCATCCTTTTAACCGTAACCATTTCCTCCGTGGATCGCTCAAAAACATTACGTGCGTGGAACGTGTCCGTTAAGATCGCCTTCTAAGTCTGCCGCAACGAATGTTTGTAGCAGGATGTCGGAATCCCTACAAAATGCGTCCTTCTCCGCATCGATACATCCGGGATGCGGGGCATAGAGCACGAAAAACTTAAAGTGTGACATTCTCTGCTTCGATATTAATTTCATCAGTCTGTCCAAAATGCGCGTCACTTAGCCACAAACTCGCGGTATTTACCGCTGACGATGATTGCTAATCCTCGTTCTGGAGACTGTTTTCTCCAGTGTAAGTGGATATCCCCCGCCGATATCCTTGGCTTGCTTTCCCTTTCATTTTGTTTCGTGCGCACAAGCGTTGTCGTTGTGTCGTTCAGTCTGTCACATAACTCTCGGCTGCAACTCGTTAGCGCTCGTATGTTGATCGTCGTCAATAGAACTTCTTGAACTTGCTTCTTTACCTGCCTCGTCTGGGTGCAGGTTAGCCCTAGCTCAACTATTCGTGCCTTGTGGACATTGGCGCGCGTCGCTCCGCGGGAGAACGCCCTAGCAACTTGATGCAAATCCTCAATAGTCCGATGCATGTGACACGACTAATTCCTACAGTTTCGGTCTCGCTCCGCCTGTAGGGACAGGGCCGTCGTCGTTTGCCGGGGTTATCTCCTCCGTGGTCAGCCGGGGGAGTTGACGATGGGACTTTGCCGGCCATCCCTACAATCCTTGGTTTACCTAAATGACAGCAGAATAAGTCCTGCTGTTTTTAATGATTTCTTGGTTTTTGCAGCTTTCAAAAAAATAACAACGTTTTGTTACTATGCAGTTGGATCTATCTACAACAAGAGGAGCCGTTGAATTTTGCAGAAAAACAGAAATTTTTTAGTGTTAAAGCAAAAACGCTAGTCAAACTACAGTGGTATCTCTATAAGGGTGGTGGACGTCCTGCATTGCCTTTTCAGCTAAGTATGCTGGTGTCTTTGTGTTTACTGTCCTATGTTTGCTGGCTATGCACAACCATGATTCAAGCCTTTTCATTACCGTTATCGAACAATACAAGGAAAGAATACATCGGATTTGGCTTGAACCAGAATCGTTCGAACCAGGTAGTTTTTCATTCTATATGTGTTTGACTTAACACTTGCTTCTGTTTGAAAATGGAATTTAGGCAAAGTAGGGAACGGTCAGAACTTAACCCAGCCGTACCAAACATGCTGCATATCATCGGACTCGTCTTGAAACGCTGATCACAACGGTATTTTGTTATCTGACAAGCGACTATCTGGGAGGAGTTATGGGCGTTCAAATGTGCGATTTGTCAAGTGTTCTGTGGCGCATGCTCCACGATAGGTTTCCGAAACACTTATTCAGGTTTATGGTGAATGTGCTTTTTTCTTGTAATCAAGTGACCATAACCGCCGTAAAACCGTGCCAACAGACTGCCTTCAAAGGAAATAAATCCGTCGCAACTCGAAAAGTTTCTCATGTTTGAACGCTCATAAGTCCCCCCAGATAGCCGCCTGGCAGATAAAAAAACATATAATATATTTGAAATCAGGGTTTTAAGACGAGTGCAATGATATACGGCTTGTTTGAAATGGGGGTTAAGCTCTAAACATTTCCTCGTAAGATTTTGAGTAAATGCCTTGCAAGGAATTGTCTTTCACTTTATATATTTGTGTCAAATCTCCAACACAACTGATTTGAGTTTGAAGTGAAGTTTTCAATGTGATTAAAAAATTTGAAAAGATGTAAAACTTCCAGCTGTAGCTACCCTGCAGCTTTGCTTTTTTTCAGCTTTTTTTTCACTAGAATGCGAGGTGGCCGTAAGTATGGGCGTTACAACATGTAATATATCTTTTTCTGATAGCTTATGGACAGTCTCTGTATTGAGATAAGTAAAAATCAAGCAAGCTAAAGTCTTCTGATGCTAACGTGGCTCCGTCGCTCTGCTCTGCTTCGTTGTGAAAGGCGCTGCTGCGCGTTTGATTAACATCATAATTATAGTACAATATTTTATTTAAATAAAGGGATTTTCTTGCTATCACGGCGTTGTGTTTATTCCTCGTAAATGCCCTACAAAACTTGAGATCTTAGATTTTATTCGATCAATTATCGAATTATTTCAACGAATTTTAATGGGTAAACTCTTCGAATAACATTTCTTAACGCATCAACTTCAAGATAAGCTACTGAAGTCCTTATGCATATGCAGGAACCCAGCCTTGCAGGAATAATACACTAAGATGCTTTGTTTTTGGCTGCAAAAATAGTTTTACAGGATTCTGCTTTCCAAGAATCATTGAAATAAATCTTTGAAAAATCATTGAACGAAAAATGTGACGCCCATACTTTTCGGCCACCCTGTAGAATGAACTTTTACAGGACTGTCTTTCGCAAGCTTGAGTGAAGCCGCTGTGACTTCAAAGGCATTTTGAAAGAATATTTTCGTGTGGTGTCATTCATAGCCCTTAGAAACCCTATGCTGTGACAACAAGTTGCATTGCGATGGCACGTTTAATTTTTTGGTTGTAAAAGGCCCACAAGTCATTCCTCGCAGAAGAAGGACAGATTTGGAGTAAGCGAGAATAAGCTCTAGCGAACCGAGCCGCTTCGCACAATCATGTATTTTGTTTGGTCAATTCCCGTTTCGTGTAGAAGGCTAATCGTGCCGTCCTCCTTCAAAAAATTGTTGACATCACAAATCTCGTAATTTCCAAGGTTTTGAGATCAAACCCGCAAGATAAGATGTTGAGAATCGCCAGTGACAGGATTTTTTCAATACTGGGGAACTTTCGTAGTTGGATGTAACACTTTGTGCCAGAGCCGCCGTCATTGAATGGCACCATTAGCGCTATTCCAGTCTGGCCCCGAAATTCCAAAGTCATCAGTTTCAAAATTCGGTTCAAGAAGTTGTCTGATCTGCTGATGCCGAATATCTTGATATCTTGTCGCGAATTTTTTAGGGTTACGGTTTGTACACGGTCGGAGACAAAAGCAAATTTGATCTAAGGGCTAGGTACTCGATCCGAACTATCATAGTAGCTAACCGCGATAACGCGTTGTTGTGAAGGTAAGGTAGGTGCACATTATGGGGTCAAAAACCCTTTTCAGGCTGTAATCTGATTTAGAGAGGTTTATACGACGTGCTGTCTCGAATGTAATGTTTTTTCTGGGTGAGGCCCGAATACACCGAATAATCATGAGCATATTTTTGGAAATATACAACTAGAACAAAAACACATTGTACATCATTTTTTGGCACTTTATTGGGCTCACTGTGCCTAAACATTTTTCCCTATGGGAAACACTTCACGTGGTATATAATTCAACAAGACCAAAAGCACAGCAAAAAGTTGTTAATGAAAATTTTCAATTGATTCCTTTCTCAATGTTAGATGCTATTCTGCGAAGCTGCCCTGTGGTAACGGTCTTGAGCTTTTATTATCGCCAAAATAAATGCATTCTATGCTGAAAAATTGATTTCCACAAAAAAGATGTAGGCTCACTGGAACTCTTGTTAAGCACCGATGTTTTAATCTGGCCATCTGAACATTTTCGAGTGCTTTCCGGCTATGCTGTTATATACACACCTTTTTTTTCTAAACTACACTTCCATTAATAAGTCCGAAAAAGCCCATTATTTCCTTTGGAAAAACGCTTCGCAGATGCAATCAACCAGGTGAAACTGAAAAATAGTTGTGCCTATTGACAAAAGGTGGAATTGCGAAAAATTTATTAACCCTCGCATCGACGCTCCTGCAAACCTAACGCTTTTAGACTACTGGTCTACTAGTATAAGAGGTAGAAACTGCAGGGTATAGAATGTGGTGGACGTTGAATTTGCAATGAGATTAATCAGTGCTGACTTAATAAACAGTATAATACAGAATTTAGTAGACGTCTAGTCACCTCGGTGCGATGTGTGTTACTGCACACAATTTTGCAATCCCGGATGAGGTGCTGGGCTCCCGCCGTGCCGTACTTGCACCAAGTGCGCATACGGCTAAAATCCGACGCCAAATTGCTCATTTTTTTATTTTAATGTTTTTTTTTTGTTTTTAGCTGCATGCACGGTCTAGTTTTCAATGATTTGACCTTTACACTCGTGCATTGCCGTTTAGATCGGATATCTCAAAATTTGCCACTTCTGCTTTCAGGAATGGCACATGGGTAATCTTGCAGGATTGTGAAGTAAGTGTGCTTTTCAGTAGTAAGAAAGAATAGAGTGACAATATGAGTTTCGACTTGTTTTTGATTGTAATCAAAAATCCTGGTTTTTTTCTGCGGAGTTTAAACGAGAAGCTATTTTCAAACAAAAGATTGCTTCCAGCAGAAATTTTTGCTGGTTAATGTGATGTTTATGAATTCCATGGATCTTGTTTAGCATCGCAAAACACACTTCACAACCCTGCAAGATTGCCCATGTGCCTCCCTTACTTGAAAGTAGAAGTGATAACCAGGGTTGGGCTTGGGGTCAGGCGCGCCCGACCTGGATGATCGTATTGAGGGTAAGACTGAGGGGGGGGGGGGTCGTAATTAAGAATCGAATTTGTTAAATTGAGGAGATACTGCGAAAGTGAAGAAAAAATGCGCTAGTCCGGTGGATATCGCGATCAATAAAGGAATGACGGTCATAAATAGCATACTGATTGTTTCCACAATGGAAGTTTCAGCCAAAATTCAAATCTTCATCTCTTTTACCTTGACATACGAAGTCGACAAGGAAGCTTGTTGTGTGAAATGGGTATCATTTCCATAATCAGTGTCAGATTATGTCTATGCTCTCTATAAAATATTACCTATGTACTGCTGTTTCTAGTGTTTCGCAACGTCTAAAAGCGTGATTTTCAAACGTGATCAACTTGGTTTCAGTGAGGAAAGTCAGCTTTTGTATACTCATAACAAAGTAGTGTTCTCTACAAGTCTATGCCACAAATCGGGCTTCATATCGCTTTCAAACAGTGAAGTAAGAAGTGCTGCCAAAATTCCAACCGGCGCGTTTTCACTTGAGTGCTTCAACTCCTCGGATTAGCACAAGGCCGAAACAAGTCGAACCAAGCTCAAACACTTACTGTGGAATCTTCGAGGGTTGAGCTACCGAATCACATAAAACTTGGGTAGAAAAGCTTTTTTGGAAATAAAGTTAATGGGGTCAGGCGCAACCCCTCAAAAGGTCAGGCCGCCTGAGCTTTTGAGGGGTTGCGCCTGACCCTCCTAACTTGCCTTCAAAATTCGAAAATCGCCCCTTTTCTGATATGAGTGTTGAGCACAAGGCCTCTTATTGCTATGTTGAAAATTTGAAGCCAAACACTCCACCCCTGTGAAAATTATAGCTTTGAAAAGAGCACTATCCAGATCTAAAACTTGCCGTCAAGTTGTGTGTGGTTGTGCAATCGCAGAAAGTCGGGCCTACAGACCTTCAAAAAATAGAAACCTGCAGTGAAGGCTGGTCTTCTTCAAAGTGTAATACCCTGAGGATTTGGAGGTGAAGCGGAGGGTCGTTTAGGGGCTTTCACAGTGGGGAGGTCGTTTTTGAAGGACTTGTGCCTGACCTCTTGCTTAACCCTGGTGATAACTTTTGAGATATCCGATCTAAAACGGCAATGCAAAAATGTAAAGGTAACAGATTATTGAAAACTAGACCGTGCATGCAGCTAGAACAAAAAAACATCAAAATAAAAAAACGGGCAGTTCGGCGTGAAATTTTAGTTGTATGCGTACTTGGTGCAAGTACGGCGCGGCGGGAGCCCAGGACCTCATCCGGGATTTCAAAATTGTGTGCAGTAACACACATCGCACCGAGGTGACTAGATGGATGACGTCTACTATACAGTAGTTCGTTATTGCAAACTAGAGAGTATCATATTCGCCATCCGTGTTAGATAACCTCTTTTCGCAACTTTTAACTCGATCTACGATTAAAGAAAACACTATTTCGGCATCGAGGGGTGTAGCATCCGTTCATCCAAGTTTGAGCAAATTCTATGACTTTGTACTTAAGGTAATGCATTCTCATTTGACTAATTTAAACCCGCTGGTGTTTCTTTCTTACGCTTACTGGATGCGCCTTTAGACCGTACTTCCGTCGAACAGAAGAAGTATGTTGGGTTTCACTTAAACACCGGCCGACTTGGAAATCAGGTAAGGACAGCTTTATAACAGGTTTTGCAACAAAGTTCATAACTTTCATCTTTACGAGTGTCGCATTCGTTGAATAGCATTATTTAAATTATGACGTATTGTGAGTCCCATCTGCAGTCATTGTATTGCTAAATGACTGCTATTGCATTTAGATCACAGTGGTTACACATTTGAATGAAATTTGGCTCAGAGACTATTGACTTGCTGAACACGAAAATATGAATTTTGCATGGTAGGGCGTTTTCGTGACTGTCGTTGGTTTTCGGCATCTTCTTTTCTTGTGAAAGAAACACCTAAGATATTAAGTTCAAGATGTTGCATTATCCCATGACCAAAAAACGACACTTTGATTGCAGAAGCATCGCGTTCATGTCGTTTGAAAACGGTGGCTCGGGAAAACTGCAGCTGCGATTTATCCATTCTCTCCTTAACCTTCAGGATGCGCTGAACCTAGCACTATGCTTGAATTCTCTCAACGTTGACAAAAGAGCGCTTTTTATGACGTTTTTCGGCTCGATGATCACTGAAAGAGGCTGGACAAGCGATTTCCGCCAAAAACAGCAACTAGCTGCAGAAGACTATGGGTTGGGCCAGACTTCGCTTGAAAAGCGGCGTACGCAGCGTACGGCGCATACGCTCCTATGGGAGCTTCCAGACCGCGCAGGTTGCCGCTTTTGCAGCCGTTAGCCACTTTCGCGCTGGTTGCCGCTATTGCAGCCGAAGCACAGCGGATCAGGCCATTGTCTCCCTGGCGCGTGTGCGGCGTGAAAACTCACTAATTTATCGAATTTTTTGTGTTTTTTCCACCTGTTTCCCATTTTGTCTTTTACAGGCTGGTTTTGAGTTACAAGTTGCGCGAAGACTTGAAAGATCGTCATTGAGGACAGATGCGCTAACGATCGCCTACATTCAGCTGGAGTAAAACGATTTTTCCAGGCTTTATTGAGCTCAAGATTTGTGCTTTTTGTGAATGATGCGGTTTTGAAGGCTGCATGCAATGTTCAAGACCATTTATGCAAATCCATGCTGATGCATGAACCGAAGCATGGAAAAACCGCGTCACTCACAGCATATATAGAACTTGAGCGTAAAACATGTTTCATGCTCTGTTGGTGCTGCTGGTTACTTATTTTCTCGTTTTTCTGTTATGCTCAAATTTCACATTTTTTTGTGGAGATGCGGTTTTTAACCCTTGCGTCCGTGCGCCATCATGAATTTGCACAATTCTTCACAATGAACAATCCACTTTGTAAATTTCAGCTGAGTGTAGGCAAAGCTTAGCCCTTCTGTCCTCAACGCGATATGTTAAGTCTTGGAGCAATCACTACCCAAAGACTTGTACCTCAAAATCAGCCTATAAACAAATAAAGAAACAGATGGAAAAACACAGAAAATCCGATCAATCATTGAGTTTCGGCGCCGCACGTGCCCCGGGGGGACAATGGCCTGACCAACTGCGCTTCCGCTGCACTAGCGGCAACCGGCGCGAAAGCGACTAACGGCTGCAAAAGCGCTAACCGGCGCGGTTTGGAAGCTGCCTATGATGAAATATACCAAGCAAACGCCGCGTATGCCACTTTCCCAGCGTAGTCTGGCCTAACTCTGTATGATTCGACTCATTCACCCATTTTGGCGGCATTTGGCTGGTTGGCTCAGGCCAATCGCGCCTCAGTTGGCGGCAATCGCTTGCCCAGCCCCTTTAACGATCTCCAAGACCGGAAGCGCTACAAAAACTTTTTTGATAACTTTTTTGACAAGTTTTTGACAACTTTGAGGCAAGCACAATATTGGACTCAGCACATCCAGAAGGTCAAGGAGAGGTAAAACTCGTAGTTGCATTTTTGAGCCACTGCCTTCATTCCAGATAAATTCAGTTTTGTTCTTTCGACTGGGTTTAAAAAACCTATTCTATTTATACCTTATTATTGTTTCATTCGCTTGGATGTGTTCGGACCGCGAACGATTTTTTTCTTCCCATTAAGCTTAGCTTAATCGTAGCCTGAGTTTGGCAGTTTTTCATGATACATTAATGTTTTCTTTACCATAAGAAAACATGCGATTTGTGCAACTTGCAAATCACAACATGATTTACATGATGAAAAATGATGCCCTGGTAAATCTTTTTTGAACCTTGAAGTTGAGCTGACAAAATGTCCCTTATTCAAGTGTCGAGAGAATCAACAAGTAATTGTCTAATAACAAGCCGAGCCTGTGCTCACCGTTTTGTGAACCTTTGACCTTTGATAATCAAATCTAATAAGTAAAGGTATATAATTAAGTTAGCTTGACCTTTTGAAGAGAGACATGCATATTTATCAGTTTTAAACGCTAATTTGAATTATGGCATTCCTAGTTGGCGCACCATTCGAAGCGAGATATGAGATTTTACCTTGCAGAATGGTCACAGTACTCAGCATGAGTACACTGGCTGTAAGTAGAAACTTGCCCAAAAACTGTGCTGGGAGATCGAAACAGCACTGAACAGAATCTTTTGCCGCTGGCAAGGAACTCAATGCAAATTTAATAGCACTTATTGTTAGATGATATTGCAGTGATGCCAACATGAGTGGATTAGCAGGAAAAAACGCGGTTCAGAATAACGCGCCGCAGATGGGAATAGCATATTTAAAACTAGCTTTTGAAGTGCTTTAGAAAATATACGTTTCTTTTCAAAGGCTGAGCTAAGTTAGGTACCTTCCCTTGTAAGAAAAATAGTGGAACTCCCATACAAGCATACGCTAACATCCTCCCGCTAAAATCTCTTGCAACCGCAACATTCTCTCTGAGAGCGATCTTTAGCATTTAGTATAAACCGCGTTTATCTCCTTCCACCTCCTCGCATCATACAATTCAGCATTGGAAATAGAGTGAGAAAAATTTATAAGCCTACTAGCTGGCATACCCGGCTCGGCCGTATGTTCCGAGTAGAAAATTCCATTTCTTAACCGATCCGAACCAAACTTGGCACACATACACTTCGGGCCCCGGCGGGTGTCACAGTCCACTTTTCGTTATCGATTGATGTCGATTTTATCGATTTTTTGCAAAATTTGAGCTAGGGGGCTGGGATTTGGCACAGGAGGGTAATCGAGCATGCTGAACACCCCCGTGGGGGTGATCAGCATGCTCGATTACACCCCCTCCAAATTCCAGCCCCCTAGCTCAAATTTTGCAAAAAAAATCGATGAAATCGATAAAAGTAATGCACGATTTTAAAAACTAATATTGTATTCGGAATCCCCATGCTCACTTACCCCCCTGTGCCAACTCCCAGCCCCGTAGCTCAAATTTTGCAAAAAATCGATAAAATCGATATCGATCGATACGAAAAGTAGCCTGTGACACCCGCCGTGGCCCGAAGTGTATGTGTGCCAAGTTTGGTCCGGATCGGTTCAGAAATGGAATTTTCTATTCGGAACATACGTACACACATACAGACAGACAGACAGACATACATACAAACAGACATTCAGCTTTATATATAAAATGGATTTGTATAAAATCCTTGTTGGAGTCCAAACAAAAACTTCTGTGATTCTAGAATCACAGAACTCTTTGTGCAGAACAAGGCTGACAGCGTTGCCAGAAAAAGAAATTACAAGAAGCGGGTAAAAATAGGAGACGCATCAGAAACTAGACTAGTTTTGATGTGCATTTTGACTCAATGAAAACAAATTTCGCTTTTTCAAAACTCTTTTTTTCTTGTTGTCTTCTTCTTGACAGTTGCCACTTCCAATACAGTTTTTTCAACCCAGAGTTGTTGAACTTTCCCAGTAAAGCAGCGCGCCCGCACGCCACTGGCTCAGCGAGATAAATTAGAATGAAGAGACGCAGACTGCAAAAGCGGGGCGATTCGCTGCAAAGCGGACTCCCGCCAGCCCGAACCGCCTAAACTGAGCTGAAACTCAACACGGTTGTTTTTAGAACACCCACAAAAAAAGTAAATAAGCGTTCCATATAAAAAAAGAAAATAAGCTTAATAAAGAAAAATTCTTGGAACGACCTATCACTGAGGCTGAAGAAAAGATCATTGCCTCCCATTCTCTCTTCTTTTCAAGCACAACAAGGCAAATTTTATTGTGGATTAGGGAACTATTCCATAGACGAAGTCAATTTTTACAAAATGGCGTTCAAATCCTTGCACCAAGTTTCTCGAAGTTAAAGCTGAATCTGGAAGGTTCAATGCACAAAAATATCGACTTCAGCATCAAAGATCTTTGATGATCCGTCTAATTAGATTTGAGTCAAAATGTTTCAACAGTTTGCAAAAATACTTTCTAATAAATCAATTGCTAAATTAAGCAATAATTTGGCTATAATGAGGAAATGTGACAAAGCGATGTAAAAGAGATATAAAATTTCACAATTTTTCAGAACTGTCTATTCCTACACATTTGAAACAGGCAGACACATCTGGTTGCCAAAGCGGCCTATATTCCAAAAAAAATTAATAATAACCGTAGAGAATACATGTACTCTTTGTTGCATATTCAGAGCAAATCAAAAGAGCGGTGCTTTGGCTTGCGCAAGTCTGCAATTTTGATTCAATATTTTAGTTTGTAGCGTAAGAAAAACAGTTAAATCCCTGATAATTCATGCTTTACTCCAGCATATAGATATCAGGTGCTTCACTTTCGTTTGTGCAAAAAATCTTTTTCGCTTTTGGACTAGTAATAGAACTTTTCTACTTATAGAAACGAATTTGAGAAACTAGGTGGGATACCTGGCTCCGCCTGGCCTACGGAAACACTATGGTAATTGTGAGCATCTCTATTTCTGTATCCACTTCTACCTGCTAATTCTTCCCTTCCCCGTTTTGTTCTCGTAATCAATATGCCTGCCCACCTACTTACGCCAAAAACGAAAAAACTTTTGGAAGGACCTAATATAGGGCGTTCTAAAAAATGTGTATGAAATTTTTCACTCTTAACTCTGATGGTTCTTTTCCAAGTTGCTTCAGTTGAATCGTAACAGCTGCCTTTCTAAAGTTCGCCAAAAAT